TGCCTCAAGGCTCGAACCTCTAGTCCTGCCGGCCCAAGAAATTGCTCGGCTTCACTTTTACAGTTCGCTGAGACCACGACAGATGACCGACCAAATGATCGCACGGATGGCAAAACCGCCTACAAATGTGCCCTGTCCCTCCGGTCAAACTTGTTGTGAAACAAAAGAAGAAAATGCTCGAAATTTTCACGGGTTTTGAGACCGAAAACAAATATGTTGTCTCAAATGCTCTTGGACAGCAAGTCTTCTATGCGATGGAGCATTTGTCATTTATCGCCCGACAGCTCTTGGGACGCAGTCGGAAGTTTGAAATGAAGTTAGTTGACTGCTCAGTAAGTGAAGTGCTCAGCGTCTATCGACCGTTTAAATGCTGCATACGATGCTGCTCTCTCTGTCCGTGCAGTACTGCCTGCTTGGATGAAGTCGAGATTAACTGCCCGGCCAGTGGTACCGTTGGCTGCATTCGGCAGCAATGCAGGGGCTGCCAGACTCTCTACTCTGTAGAAGATGCGTCGAACGACAGATTGCTGCAAATCCAGGGACCCGCTCTGTGCTGCAACTTTTCTTGTATAGGAGCCAATGTGTCCTACAAAGTTCTAACTGCCGATGGAGTCCACATAGTCGGTGAGATTTCGAAGCAATGGAGAGGCCTTTTACAAGAGTATCTGACCGATGCAGATACATTTGCTGTCACTTTTTCCAATTGATTTACAATTAAAGGCTAAGGCCCTTCTTATGGCGGCAACTTTCCTTATAGATTTTATGTTCTTCGAACGTAAGCAACGTTAGCAGGACTAGCCGAATTTAAGTTCAGGCGCTGACCCTGACAAGCTGAATTTTCCGCAGTCTATCTCCCCTATAGCTTCAACATTTTAATTATATTTATTTGACATTTATGACCTTATGTCGCCTTTTACGAAATTTTGCCTTCTGCATGCATTTTAACTTAAAACTATGCTGTGAAAAAAGGTAATGACGACCCCCTCTGGGCCTTCAATATAAAATGCACTTATTTATTTAAGCGAAGGTCTGTCGGCATCCCAGCGTCTACCCGCGGGTTTTAAGGGACTGGTTACATCTAATGAAACTGCTATGCGTTTGAGTTCGGAAACGTGTGGGGTGGAGGGAGGAGTAAGATTGCATTCAAAGTTCGGTGGGAATGGAAGGCGAATATGGTTTTGACTGAATGAGGTAGAGGCGTCAGAGCATCGTCAATAAAACAAAGGTGTGCGTCGCTGTTCAGACCGCGTGGATCATGCAGCCAGGGGAAGTGGCTGTTTACAGAAACAGACATGTCTACGAGGGGCCTTGATCCGTTAGCCGACGCCAATCCTACTCAACGATCCGAGTCACGAGATAGCAGCTCGCAACCAACGCAGTCGACCCCTGTTTGTCACTCTCACACATTCGTGAGAAGTCGTCCGATGGCAAGGTCGTTCAGCTCGCCTACACTCGAAATATTGTGAACCGGTGAGGGCTTTTTTTACGTTGACGATGTCCCTTTTGCATACGGCAGGGTTGTGAGTCTTGGAGAAACGTGGGCCATCCTCTAAGTGCCGTCTCCTATTTCTGCGTCAGCTGAAGGCTGTCTACTGAATGTCTGCAAAGTCTGAGTAGACGGTATGCGTAGATAAATACAGCCACTCTTCAATTCACAAACCAGTTAC